TCAACTGTGGTCCTAGAAACTTACAGCCACTTGTGAAAGAGATGGACTCTTGCTCTGGAGTGTGTTACTGAATATGTTAATGTTGTAATGAAGTGCTTCTTCTAATCATGTGTATGAAAAAAAAATTAAAAAAATAATGATTAAAAAAAAAGAATAATAAGAAGAAGAGGAGGAGGAAGAGGAGGAGGAGGAGGAGGAAATAATTTGATAATTGGGTGCAGGATAGAACCATTCATTCCATCTATACTGATGGAAGATATAATCATTGCTCTTGACCTCTGATGTTTACTGTGATCTCTTGTAGCTGGTTGCTACTTTGGCTGGGTGTAAAACCACTACAACAGCTGTCATGGTTCCCAAAAAAAAAAGAATAATAAGAAGAAGAGGAGGAGGAAGAGGAGGAGGAGGAGGAGGAAATAATTTGATAATTGGGTGCAGGATAGAACCATTCATTCCATCTATACTGATGGAAGATATAATCATTGCTCTTGACCTCTGATGTTTACTGTGATCTCTTGTAGCTGGTTGCTACTTTGGCTGGGTGTAAAACCACTACATCAGCTGTCATGGTTCACTGCCTGCGCCAGAAGACAGAGGATGAGCTCATGGAGACCTCACTGAAAATGGTAAGTGTATCCTAGGGAGCAGTTTCTCATGTCTCAGGAGTGTGTCAGCCTCAAGATCCCAGCTGAGAATTCAATCATTCCTATCTTATTGTGAAATGGCTTAAATGTCAAAAATATTCCATTATTAACATGATGAAAATTTATATGGCAATCTCTCAAATTTATCAGAATTACATTTTAAACATTCTTGTTTTCAGACATAGTTTAGCAATCCAAAAATAGTTGCCATCCTGAATTTGGGGGCTGAAGATATTCAGTGCAGCGTTTCAGAAGTTTCGCAGTGTTTATTGATTGATATTGAAACTAAGTTATGACACAGTAGTAGCAAGGTTTTCTAGATTTTGTTACATTGCTTCAATTTGGAACTGAGATAACCATCTATCTCCCCATCCACTATCTGTTACCTAGCTATCCTCTCATCCATTCATCTTTCCAACCTACACAATAATATCTTCTCATCAGTCTAGTAATGATATATCCATTTTTTATTCATCTATTATTTTATTTTCCCATCATCCATTTGTCACCTGACCAACATACATCTACAGTCCTTCACCCAGTCATCACCAATACCATCCATTCATCCATTCATTTATGCATTCATCTGTCCATCCATGATCCATTCATGCAAAGTGTAAGGAGGAGACATGGAAAGGGAAGTAATGCCATTATAAATTGAACATTGTTACATTTTCTCACAAGCAGCTATCCAAAGAGAAACACGGCCATATACTTAATGTAAATGGATAGCACAGAGAGTGAGGACATTCAGTATAGTCAGCAGGGATACTTCTCAGGGGAGTAGCTTTTGAAGATTGATGAACAGTCATGGGAGTTTATATCAGGGACACACAGTAGAACAAACATCCAGAGAAAAGAACATGAGAACTTCTACCTTTGTGGGGGGAGGTGTTAGTATGAGCTCAGAAGTCACCTGAGCCCTCGGCCTCTCTATCTGAACCATAGACACTGCAGGATACTGCTGGATCCCCAGGGAAGGCTTTAGGACTATGGTCTTTCTGTAAGTCCATGGGTTGAGTCAATATTGTCTTGAGGCTTTGGTTTTCATGTTCCCCAAAGCAGTCTGAGATGTTCAAAGACATAAAGCAGTTATTTTCTAAGATCAGAAAAAGCAAACATTTCAGACATTCTTCATGTAACACGAGAGAACCAGATTACGGGGTATAATTGATGACTTTGAAAAGCACAGAGTACTTAAGATCCTAGGACTTCCTGAGGTTTTCTGAGATCTTAAGTGCTTCCATGATTTGCCACTGCCGTGGCATGCAATCATGCATGAGCACATGCACATATGTAGATATGCAGCTATCACATCCTTGGCTGGTAGAAGCACAAACCACAACAAAGGGTTCCTAGCTGTGTCTTCCCCCATGTAAGTGAGACTTAACAGCTGAAGTACGGCATCATTACCAGTGATGGGGATCTGGGCCAGGACTTTCTAAGTTCTTGGCCTCTTGTCCAAAGAACTGAAATAAAGACACTCACAGATGGCAAAGTAGGAAGGAAACCTTATTCAAAGTGAAATGATAGTACGGACCAGAAAGAAATATGCTGTCAAGAGTGGCAGCAGACCATGTGAATGAGAATATTCAAAGGTGTCAATTATTGTCTGGGGTCTCCTTTTATGGGGTTCAAAAGAAAGAGGAGTTTAGTTGCCAAGAGACATAATGTGAATGGTTCCCTGTTTTGAATGACAGGCAAATTTTATTACGCTAGCCTTTGCTCAATGTACATGTTCCTTCCCGTGATACATCTGATGTTTATTATATGTGTTCCTAATTTTGTTTAGGCATAAGAAAGCAAATAGGAAATTTTCCTAAAAGTTCACTTGAAGGACACAGTTCATCCTATTGCATGTACACCCAAAACTAGTTCTGGCCAACTCAGCCACTTACCTTTTGTACCCAGATACAGCCTAAAATACATTTGAATAATAATTGTACATGAAGGGGCTGATTTTTATGGTTGCTAGAGGTAGAAGAAATTTATTCTATTGTTTGGAGTGGGATGTACCTGCAGTCTGATGGGGTTTTAGGTTGCTGTCAGGTTCTAGGTGCACCGTTAGAAGAGGGGTGTGCGTGTATAGTACCCATAGGTACTGTGGCAGTCCTAGGTTTCCAAGTGCATTGTTAGAAGTGTGTGTGTAGCCCAAGCCAAGCAGAGTCACAGATTGCTAAGGTATTCCCTATACTTTGCTGCCTAAAGTGCAGTCCCGGTGAACACAACACAGAAAAGAGTGGGCTGGAAGGAGTGTTACGGGGCTTGTGGAATCAGGATTTTCTGATGCAAGATGAGAACTCTCATCTTAAGTTTCTTGTCATGTATTCTTGAACAGAGAAGGAGTGTTCTGTAACAGAATCTTAGGTGACTGTGAAGGTCAGAAGCAGAGGGCTGAGCATGTGGCTGGATCCAGACCCTGGGAAGATGCTGTTGCTGTTGAGAATCCACCTGCCTCACACTTCAGCTTTCTATTCTTCTACGTTGTTTTTTTTCAAATAATTCTGTCCCTCGTGGAAGTGAAAGACAACTGCACTCTAAACTTATATCCTATTACTTAGAAATCATCTCTTCCCCCGAATTAAGCAATAGATTCGTAGGACATTGTTGAACTGGGATCAGCATGTTCTCTATGTTCAGAACATGGTGACTGATCCTAAGTCCCACATAAATATCTGAACTCTTAAATCGAGAAGTGAGGAAGACAGGATAGAGATGCCCTCATGCCCTGCTGGTCCATCCTACCTCCAGACCCATCTCCTCCTGCCATCAATTTGATATCATTCCAGTATTTCCCTGAGGAAAATTAGGGCATTGCTTCCAGAGAATAAGTAGGGAGAGAGAATTAGAAGGAAAGTAGACACAGGTAGCAGATATCCTCCCCAAGGCTCTGCTAACCCTGACTCTGGGTCCCAGAGCCTGTCCTCTCTCTGATGCTGCCCTGATCTCCTCCTTCACCCTGATCTACCTTGTGCTCAGGCCAAGAGGACCCAGATAAGAAAGAGCCAAGAGGCAGAGCCAGAAACCTTGAGGGTGCAGCTCAGGTGATCAGCTTTTATACAGGGAAGGCTCCGTAACATATCCCCTGCCTTTATCTTCACAGAATCTTTTTAAGCTGGACTTACTTGGAGACCCAAGAGAGGTAAGAACTTTTGCTTTCTGAATCACAGATGTTGAGTCTTAACCGTGCTTAAGTCTGGTTAACTATGAATGAAGAAAGTCATTCCTTGTGTGTGCACTGCTGTCACCACGAGGGGAAGTCACTTGCTGGGGTAACACAACCAGGAAGACCAAAAGCAGGCCAGCCTGACTCCTAGTCAGTAACTCTCTGCCCTTTGGGGCAACTCTCCGTTCTCATTTAAATTACCTGTTCCCAAAATGGCCCTGAGGGAGGAGGACCTACTATTAGGGGCCAAAATTCCTAAGTCAGGATCCCAGGAGCTTTCACTAAGGAGTAGGGATCTAAGAGAATCCAGGGGTGGTGAGCAATATAAGGAGGAGTCTAGGAGGCTGTGGACACCAGCCTCCTCTTAGCACCCAGGAAACTCTAGCGGTATGTTCCATCCCCTCCCCCACTGCCCTCATACCTCCCAGCATAGACACAGGTAGAAGATATCTTCTCCAGGGCTCCGTTAACCTTGACTCTTGGTCCCAAGTCCTGTCTTCTAACTACTGGGCCTCTCTTCCACCCTGATCCACCCAGCCTGAGCTAACGTTAGAGGACCCAGATAGGGAAGATAGTTTGTGTCTGGTGACATTAGCTGAGTACTTTCTGTAGTACTCTCCCGTGTTTCCTTCCTGGGTATCCCAGCAACTCCCTGAAAAGCCTGGGAGGATGAACTGAGATTAAGCCATTCATCAAGGTTTTACTATGGTGGCAAGAGCTGATTTAGCAGCTGGGTATAGCGGTGAAACAGATAATATTCTGTGCCTTTCTGGGACCTTTCATTCCATTGTCATGGACTAGAGAATGTAATAGAAGAACATATGAGGTATGTGGTATGTCTGATGACAGTCAGATAAGAAGTTAAATTGCCTGTGAGGAAGAGCTCTGGCTCCCTCACATGAACCTGGAGTTTTGGACCCTTACTGTGAGTCACATTTCCACATTTTTCTGGCAGTAGGCAGACGGTGGAGGAAAGGAGAGCATGGAAGACTTCCTGATGTTGGACGGCTCAGTCTTCTCTGAGTGACCACATTCCCCACAGATCCCTCCCCTGAGGTCCCAGACTGTGCACGGCAGAGGCTTTGCCTCTTATGCTGGGGATGGGGGAGGTCTCTGTTATTTGAGATTCTGGTCTTGGGAGGATGGATTCTCTGGAACAGACCTCCTACCTCCCCTGGGGCCTTGCTGTGGTCCTCATTCCACATGTGGACCTCTCCCATTACTAGACACCCAGAAGTTTTCCATTATTTTTCTATTTCTCTTCTACAGCCCCAGTATGCCTTCACCTATGCCCTAATTGAACTTCTAGAGATAAAAATCACAGTCTGAGAAGTAAAAAAAAATAAACAGAAAACACTGTAATAACTAAAGTGATATAATCCTCAAATTAAAATATATAATTATATCTTAGAATATAAATTTGAAATTCTGTATGTCTACTATAATTTTTAATATTTAATGACAAAACCGTACTACCAAGCTTCAACAATAATGTGAAATTTGTCACTGTTCCTATAATGTGAGCTTGCCATTCATTCCATTTCCAAATTCTCCAAACTATACAGTCTTTCAATGTAATCATGTTACTTCTTAAAGAAAGCAATGCTAATAAAATGTTTTTCATTTTAAAAGTTAAACAGTAAATTGGGAGATGGGGACAAAGTTGGCCAATGGTTTGTTATAAATAATAGGTCTGGATGGCTGGATAAGAAAAGAAACCGGCTGTCAGGAAACCTGGAGGAAGTATTCCATGCAGAGGGAAGAGCAACCTTGAAAGCCTGCTGCAGGCGGCCTGTGTGCTTGGAGAGGCGGTGGGGAGGGAGGAGCAGCCTTCAGGTCGAGGAGGTCATGGAGCAGGGAAGTTGGGGTAGCATCTGAAAGGTTTGGATTATGATTCAGCACAAGTGTTCAGTGGGCTTTGAGAAGCAATCTTAGATTTTTTTTAGAGTCTTATTTTTGTTCGTTTTAATATGAGACATAGTCCCACTATGAAGTCTAGTCTGGCAATGAAATTGTGATCCTCCTCTCTCAGCTTTTCAAGTCCCAGGATTATAGACATCATCATGCCTAGCTACAGAGTTCATTTTGTCTGCAATGCAGAGGTACACTGTGTAAGCCAGGGGCAGGGCAGGTGCAGAGTGACCAGTTAGGATGACATTGGACTGTAGTAGTCCAGGCAAGAGCTCCCAGCAGTTCATACCAGGGACTGAGAAGTAGGGTGGTTAGATGTAGCTGGAGTCTGATATTTTTGAAGGAATTTGTGTGAGGACCTGCTGACAGTGACATAAAGAGGAAGAGGAAGGATGCTGCTGCCCTCTCTAACTGAGCAAGCAATGCACGTGGCCTCACAGTGCAGCCTTTGGAAGTCACATGTGGCTGTGGCAATTGCTTTGGGTCTCTTGGCTGCTGATACCAGAGTCTTCCTTATAGATGCTGGTCCACACGGTCCCTCAGTGTCTGCCTGCTGCAATGCTGCTGTTTTCTATCTCCACATTCTCTATTCACTCACATTCTTCATATACACACCAGACTCGTTGTTGTAGAAACACAAGTTAGAATATAACATTTAGCTTCTGATAAAATCTTGACTTTTCTTATAAGACAAACGTCCTTGCCTCCATGAAGCTAGTACTTTAAAACATCTCTGAATGCAGGAATGGGCCATGTATTATAGAGAAAAAGTTCTCCAACCATGACCCTCTCTCTGGCTTTACCCCAGGGCAGCCTTTAAGCTTAGGCCTCTTTGACTTCTGAGACTAGTCCTGTTTAGTGAGTTCTCTCTCTTGGCTCTTCCAACTGCTCAACCTTTTTACTTTTTGAGATCTTCCCTCATAGATCTTCTACCTCATGGATTTTCCCTTAGAGACATCTAGACTTATCACCTCCCCACCCCTTAGGACACTGGGTTTATGTGTCCACAAGTGTCTTCGTACTGGCCAAGCCCCTAGACAGGCAGAGAGGGGACACAAGTGTAATGTGGGGCAGAGTACTCATAGATGCTACATTTCTGTCTTCCCCAGAGCTATCCCTTCCTCCCCACTGTGATTGATGGCGTGGTGCTGCCAAAGACACCAACAGAGATTATGGCTGAAAGGAATATCAACACTGTCCCATACATAGTCGGCATCAACAAGCAAGAGTTTGGCTGGATCATACCAATGGTGAGAATGCACAGGGGGCTATGCTCCCAAATGATTACATTTCAAAGAAACTTAAAAGTTTCCAGTAAATTTGCTCCTAATGGTCCATGATGAAGCACTTCATAGTAAGAAATTTACACTTAGTGGGGCAGAGAAAGGACTGATATTTGGAATATTCCTAAAGTAACTACTAAAGAAGGGCTCAGGAGGGTTGTCTGCCCATCAACCAAGTTTTCCTTTGGAAGCCTTGAGCTTTCTCAAGCAGGAGGTTTAGGGGCTTGGCATCATCCTAGGATGTGACCCTAAGTTCCTAGAAGACATGCTAAAACTACTCATCAAATCAGATTCGAAGCATAGACAGGATCAGTGCATGCCGAGAGTTCTGCAGCTCTCACACAGAAGGACTTCAGGGGTCACCACAGCAACACAGACATACAGACTAATGATTGGCTTTGGTTTCCCTGTCACCTGTGTTGAGGGGGTATGACCCATGTCCTTTGTACCTGAAACCTTGGCTTCTACAATACCCTGTCCTGAATGTTCCCTCACTGCCTAGAGGAACAATGTGCCCCATGATGTGATCAAAGTGTTTATTTAAATGCCCTCTTTATACTATTTATATTTTTTCATATAAATCCATTACTTTTGTTAATTTTATTTCTCAAAAACAAACTGCCATGTCTATCAAGGCCCCAGAAACCACCTTCATTCCACTTTGGTTTGCTTAGTTGGCCTTTTTGGTTATTGTTAATTCCCTGTTGTTCACAAATATCCAATTATTTCTTTAACAGCTTATGGGCTATCCACTCTCTGAAGGCAAACTGGACCAGAAGACGGCCAAGTCCCTCTTGTGGCAGTCCTACCCCATGCTTGTAAGACTCCAGGGAATCATGGGAATTGGTTGAGAAAGAATGGAGATGGTAGCTTTCTCTAATCACAGACCAATTCGGTGGAGGAAAGGCGTCCTGGGACCTGGGGTTCAGCTCATGATTTTCTGCTTTTCTCACTTTACTATCCCAGGGGAACAAACCCACACTTATGACTCACCAACCAAAAGCCCATTGAATCCAGGACAAGATTTAGGGGAAAATTGTACTTCGATAGCTATCAGACCAAACAAGACAGAGACTATCACCAATGAAGACCAGCAAATCTAGAGAGTGGAGACACAAGACTTATGTAGGGAGTTAGAAGGTGTATCAGATATGCAGACACCAGACTAGTTATAAATTTAGGCTTTTCTGCTTTTATGACATGGCCCACTGTTATCTGTAGGTCACTGGCTCTTCTAGGCTCTGTAATCTAAGAAAAATTACTATCAAATCTTATGACCCATGTTTTTTCATTCTAGTTTCTAGGAGGAGTTAATTCTGAACTTGATTATTCAAATATAAATTATGTCTTTCCCCCAGTGAACAGAAGAAAACAGAAAAAGATTGTTTTATCCAAGTAACCAGGGGAAAGATGGGAGAAGGGTTTTCTTATGTGGGACAACTAGAGGGAGCATCCACTGGACAACAATTTTTAAATCATTAGTCTACAATCTAGAATAATTGCCTCTCATTCTGGGAAGTGAGGGAGCTTCTTCCACCAAGGTCTGTAGAACAGTAAAACACTGCTCAGATGCCTGACTTCCAAGCTCAATGATACAAAATCAATTTAAAGCAAGTGCATCTAGAGAGTTTATTTTGGTCTCCCTGAATGTCACTAGAAGGCTAGGGCACAGTGCTCGAGTGGTTCGGAACCAAGAACACCTCTTCACTGGCTGAAAATACCCAATTACTCACCAGGTGGGAGTGGTTACTTTCTGGTCTTTTTCAGAACATCTCTGAAAATCTGATTCCAGAGGTCACTGAGAAGTATTTAGGAGGTACAGATGACCTTGTCAAAAAGAAAGACTTGTTCCTGGATTTGATTGCAGATGTGATATTTGGTGTCCCATCTGTGATGGTGTCCCGTGCTCACAGGGGTGAGTCTCAAACGCTACTGGGAGAAGGAAGCAGGCTCACCAGCTGGGTCTCTGACATATAAGAACCCCTTAAAACATATGCTCTTTATGTCTTTGATGTCAGAATTTACATCATTTTGAACAGTAATTTATTTTATGTCTAGTTGATTAATTGGTTTCAGCTACAATCATTGGCAATAGTTTTCTTTTGACCTCTTGTACGTCTCAGGATAAAGTTGTGTCCATGTCATCACTACAATCCTAGAGTGCCCTGCACATGGCTCATTTTATACCATCTACTGTCATATGTTTTCCTATGTTTCATGTTAATCACTGCCATCTTTAAGTTTCCATAAAGAACCTTCTTTAGCAAGTCCTGTAAGGCATGTGGAGAAGCAACGAATTCCATGAGCTTTTGTGTGTCTGGGAAAGCGGTCATTCTCCCCTCATCGCCGAAAGGCGGCTTTCCTGAGTGCAATGCTCTAGGCTGGCAGTTCTTCTCTTCAGCACATGAATGCACCATCCTGCTCTCCCGGTCCTCTAGGAAATCTGGTGTGGTTTGGCACTTCCTTGCATGTGATGCTGTTCTTACGTCTCATGCTCCCAGAACTTTTCTTTGTTTTTGATTATTTTGTGTCTTGGTTAAAATTGATTGGAGAGCTCTACACTTCCTGATCTTACTGTTCCCAGGCAGGAACATTTTCAGCCACAACTTCAAATATGCTCTGTGTCCTTTGATTTTTCTTCTCCTTTTGAACATTCTCTTGCTCAAATGTTTAGCTTTGTGACGGCGTCCCATTATCTTTGCTTTTCTTGTTGATCCAACTTGTAATTGCTCAAGTACATGCAATTATAATTAGAATAATTTTATAAATGCCAGGCTTCAGGTAAAACCTTATGAAGACACGTGGGCAATGTGCTGTGAAAGATGTGTTCTCTCATTCACAAAAGTTTTCTAATGCAGAGTTGAGATGAGTTCTTTCTAAAATGATTGAGAGGCAGAGGCAAGGTTAAATCCCCTTTCTAGCAAGTTCTTCTTGACCCTGAGGCACCTGTTTGGTAAGTGCATTGCAGAGTCACAGGATTGTCTCTATGGTTACCATGATGGAGACTGTGAATAAATTATTCTTCATCTGATGATGGGGTGATATCTGTGAATGAAAACTTTTGTGAGTTTTGTGAGGGCTGGAAAGACGGCCCAGTGGGTAGAGCACTTGCACAAATCTGACAACCTGAGTTTGAAGCTCCAAAGTCAGAGAAAAGTGGGAGAACCAAATCTACAATTATCCATTGACCTCTATGCACATGCTGTGGCATGTGTTCATGTACACACATGCACACACACACCTGCACACGCAGGTGTGAGCTAGCACACATACAACATACACATACAACTAATAACATAATTTTAAAAATTGTGAATGGGGGGGCTGGAGAGATGGCTCAGCGGTTAAGAGCACTGACTGTTCTTGCAGAGGACCTGGGTTCGATTTCCAGCACCCACATGGCGGCTGCAAACCATTCTTAACTCCAGTTCCAGGGGAATCTGAAACCCTCTTCTGACCTCTGTGGCACTGCACGACATGGGAGCACTTACTTACGTGCAGGCAATACACTCATACACATAAAATAAAAATGATAAATAAAATTTTTAAAGTTTTAAAAAATTGTGAATGGGTAGCTTATGACATGAAGTAATGATAATAGTGTGTTAAATATAATATACATTTTTTGTTTTCAAATTTCCTATGATATCCATGGGGGCAAAGTTGCAAAATTTTCCCATCATGTTGATATGTAGATTGACATGTACCTTCTCAGAGTCACTCCAGTGTGGGTATCTGTGCCCTGTTATGACCACTGCAAATGCTGAGGCTTCCAGGCTGACCATCTGTGGTTTTGTCCACGAGGAGCACAGATTGGTGGCTCCAAGAATCCTATCACTAAGAAAAGTGGCTCTTGGCACTTGGACAGGACGTCTGCAGGCTGACCATCTGTGGTTTTGTCCACGAGGAGCACAGATTGGTGGCTCCAGGAATCCTATCACTAAGAAAAGTGGCTCTTGGCACTTGGACAGGACGTCTATGGTGATGAGAGAGGAGGCAGAGGAGAGCAGCTGAGCCAGGAGACAAGCAGGTGCTCCTTCCCTTGGCATGTCTCTGCTTGTCACCATAAGGCATTACACTCCCGGTCCAAGCAGAAGCAGTTCATGGACTATGAACCCTGAATTTTGTGATTTATTGAAACACAAGAGTGAGATTGTTCCATTTCTGAAGACACTTTTGTTTAAATATCTTAATTCCTCGTCAACCAGCTGTGTAACTCTAAGCA